ATCAAAGACTTAAATCTAAGAACTGAAACCATAAAAATTCTACAAGATAACATTAGAAAAACTCTTCTAAACATTGGGTTAGGCAAAGAATTCATGACAAGCAAATGCAACAAAGACAAAAATAAATAAATGGAACCTAATTAAACTAAAAAGCTTCTGTAGAGCAAAAGAAATCATCAGCAGAGTAAATAGAAAACCCACAGAGTGGGAGAAAATATTCACAAATTATGTATCTGACAAAGGACTAATATCCAGAATCTGTAAGAAACTCAAACAAATCAGCAAGAAAAAAAAAAATAATCCCATTGAAAAGTGGGCAAAGGACATGGATAGACAATTCTCAAATAAGATATACAAACAGCTAACAAACATATGAAAAAAATGTTCAACACATCACTGATCATCAGAGAAATGCAAATTAAAACCACAATGAGATACCACTTTACTCCTGCAAAAATGGCCATAATTAAAAAGTCAAAAAACAATAGATGTTGGCATGGCTGTGTTGAAAAGAGAACACTTTCACAATGCTGGTGGGAATGTAAATTAGTACAACCACTATTGAAAACAATATGGAGATTCCTTAAAAAACTAAAAGCAAGACTACCATTTGATCCAGCAATGCCACTACTGGATATCTACCCAAAGGAAAATAAGTCATTATATGAAAAAGAGACATGCACACACATTTGTAACAGCACAATTTGCAATTGCAAAAATATGGAACCAGCCCAAATGCCTATCAACCAACTAGTGGATAAAAAAATGTGAATCCTACTCAGTCATAAAAAGGAACAAAATAATAGCATTCACAGCAACCTGGATGGAGTTGGAGTCCATCATTCTAAGTGAAGTAACCTAGGAACAGAAAACCAAGCATTGTATATTCTCATGTATAAGTGGCAGCTAAGCTATGAGGATGCAAAGGCATAAGAATGAGATAAAGACTTCAGGGACTCTTTGGGGGAAAGTTGCAGGGTTGAGGGAATAAAAGACTACATTGTGGGTACAGAGTACACTGCTTGGGTGAGGACTGCACTAAAATCTCAGAAATCACCACTAAATAACTTATCCATGTAACCAAAAACCACCTGTGACCCAAACACTATTGAAATAAAATTTTAAAAATATAGACTAGATCAAGCAGAATAAATAATTTCAGAACTTCAGTACTCAAGAGACTAAGGCAGGAGGATCCATTGAGCCTCCCAGGAGTTCGAGGCTGCAGTGAGTTATGATCACTCCACTGCACTCTAGCCTGGGTGACAGAGTGAGACCCTGTCTCAAAACAAACAAACAATGACAATAAAATGGAGGAGGAATTTTTTTAAAAAATGAAGAAAGCCTAACTGACATTTGGGACAGCATAAACTGGCCAAATATTTGAATTCTGGGTATTGTAGAGGGAGAAGCAATGGGTAAAGGAAAAGAAAATCTATTTAAAAAAATAGTAGCTGAAAACTTCTCAAATCTTGCAAGAGATATACATATACAGATACAGGAAGCTCAAAATTCTGCAAATAGATTGAATCCCAAAAGGTCTTCACCAAGACACATTATACTCAAACTATCAAAAGGCAAAGAAAGATATTCTAAAAACAGGAGAAAGGTTTAAAGTCACATAGAAGGGAAGCTTCCTTCAGACTAACAGTGTATCTCTCAGCAGCATCATTAGAGGCCAGGAGAGAATGCAATGATATATTTAAAGTGTTGAAAGAAAAAAATCTGTCAACCAAGAATATTATTCCCAGAAAAGCTATCCTCCAAAAATGAAAGAGAAATAAAGTCTTTCTCAGACAAGTGAGGAATTCAATATCACTAGACCAGCCCTCCAAAAAATGCTTAAGGAAGTTCTACATCTGGAAGCAAAAAGACAGTATCTACCATCATGTGAAAACACATAAAATTATAAAACTCACTGGAAGAACAGACATACAAATGAGAAAGAGAAAAAAACTCAAATGTTAGCACTATAGAAAACCACTAAACCACAATGATAAACAATGAGAGAAAGGAACAAAGGATATATAAAACAACCAGAACTCAACTAATAAAATGACAGGAATAAGCCCTCACATATCAATAATAATAACCTTGAGTGTAAACAGATTATCCACTTAAAAGACAAATAATAGCTTAATGGATAAAAAAGCATGGCCCAACTATATGCTGCCTACAAGAACCTCACTTCACTTGTAAAAACACATACAGACTAAAAGTGAAAGAATGGAAAAAGATATTCCACACAAATGGAAACCAAAAGTGAGCAGGAGTAGCTATACTTGTATCAGATCAAAGAGATTTTAAGTCAAGAATAGTAAAAAAGGACAAAGGAGATCATTACATAATGATAAAGGGATCAATTCAGAAAGAGGATATAATAATTCTAAATATATATATACCCAACACTAGAACATCCAGATTAAAGCAAATATTATCTAAAGAGAGAGACATCAACACAATAGTAGTTGAGGACTTCAACAGCCCACTCTCAACATAAAACAGATTATCTAGACAGAAATACAACAAAGAAACATTGAATTTAAACTGCACTTTAGACCAAATGGACCTATCAGACATGGACAGAATGTTTCACACAACTGCTACAGAATATACATTCTTTCATCAGCACATGAAACATTCTGACATACAGGGATAGGTATGTTAGACCACAAAACAAGTCTCAATACATTTTAAAAATTCAAAATCAGGCTGAGCACGGTGGCTCACACCTGTAATCCCAGCACATTGTGAGGCCGAGGTGGGCAGATCACTTGAGGCCAGGAGTTCAAGACCAGCCTGGCCAACATGATAAGACCCCGTCTCTACTAAAAATACAAAAATTAGTTGGGTGTGGTGGTGCACACCTGTAATCCCAGCTACTACTTGGGAGGCTGACACATGACAACTGCTTAAACCCAGGGGGAGGAGGCAGCAGTGAACCAAGATCACACATGCCACTGCACTCCAGCCAGGGCGACAGAACGAGACTGCCTAAAAAAAAAAAAAAATTCAAAATCATATCAAGTATATTCTCAGACCACAACGGAAAAAAAAGTACAAACCAATAACAAAAGGAATTTTGGAAATTATACAAGTACATGGAAATTAAACAACATGCTCCTGAACAACTGTGTCAATAAAGAAACTAAGAAGAAAATTAAAATATTTCTTAGGCCAGGCACAGTGGCTCCTGCCTGTAATCGGAGCACTTTGGGAGACTTGAGGCAGGTGGATCATCTGAGGTCAGGAGTTCAAGACCAGCCTGATGAACAAGGTGAAACCCTGTCTCTACTTAAAACACAAAATTAGCTAGGTGTGATGGCACATGCCTATAATCCCAGTTACTTGGGAGCCTGAGGCAGGAGAATCGCTTGAACCCAGGAGGCGGAGGGTGCAGTGAGCTGAGATCGCGCCATTGCACTCTAGCCTGAGTAACCAGAGAGAAACTCTGTCTCAAAAAAAAAAAAAAAAAAATTAGCTGGGCATGGTGGCCTGCACCTATAGTCCCAGCTACTTGAGAGGCTGAGGTGGGAGGATTGCTTGAGCCTGGGAGGTCAAGATTGCAGTGAGGCTATAATTGCACCACTATACTACAGCCTGCGTGACAGAGCAAGACTCCATCTCAATAAAATAAAAATAAAATAAAATAAAATAAAATTTACAGGAAACACAAATGGAATAGAAACATAGTATATAGTTTCCAAACTGAGAAAGAGAAAAATAAAAGGAAAAAGAAAATTCAATCAACACAATGGAAGGCAATAAAAGGAAAATGGTAAAAAAAAAAAAAAAAAGAAAAAGAAAAGAAAAGAAAGAAAACAAAAACCAACAACAACAAAAACTTTGATACAGTATTTGGAAACTAAAAAATAGAGCTGAACTATGAAAGTTCTACATGTCAATGCTTGTGGTATATAGCTAAATCAGGACTTAGAGATAAATGTGTAGCCTTAAATGAATTTATTAAAAAATAAGACAAAAAAATGAATTAAGTGCTCAATTCAATAAACTAAAAATAACAGGAACCCCACAAAAACAGGAGGATCATACTAAAGATCAGAAATCAAGGAACCAGAAAACAAACAAACAAAAAAATTAGAGAAAGGCCACAAAACTAAAAGCTGACTCTCTGAAAAGACTAATTAAAAAAACCAAACACACACACACACACACACAAAAACCTAGGCTGGTGCAGTAGCTCATGCCTGTAATCCTAGCACTTTGGGAGGCCAAGGCAGGAGAAGAACTTGAGCCCAGGAGTTCCAGACCAGCCTGGGTAACACAGTGGGACCCCATAGCTACAAAAAAATTTTTTAAACTAGCCAGGCATGGTGACACATGCCTGAAGTCCCAGCTACTCAGGAGGTTGAGGCTGGAAGATCACGTGAGCCCAAGAGATTGAGGTGGCAATGAGCCATGATCATACCACTGCACTTCAGCCTGGGTGGCTTCAGCCTGTCTCAAACAAAAAATGGAACCTAGAACAAGATGTCAAGAAAAAAACGAACAATCTAAGTTAGTCCCCCTGTAGAGGAATGGACAGTGGCATATTCATAAACTGGAATACTATATACAATAGCTAAATGAAAAGAGAGCTCTGTGTGTACACAATGTTGATGGAGAAAAAAGTTGCAGAATGATATGATCAGTATGATACAATTTATATAAAAACGTAAGTCCCATACATTGTTTATGGATATGTATCTATAAATTAAGTATAAAAACATGAATAGCAAGGATTTACCCAGCTTGAGGATTCTGGTTATACTTCTGAGGTAAGAGGGAATGAAATGGAATAGTGGAAGACACAAAGAAAGTTTCAACCATATCTGAACATTTTAGTTGCTAAAAAGCTCTGAAACAAGTATGACAAAATGTGATTAACACTTAAATATGGGTGGTGGGAACAGCTATGTTCATTATGCTGCATTCTTTATTTTCTATATGTTTGAAATATTTCAAAGAATAAAATAAATCACTCTGCCCTATGTATGCAGAATGAAATGGAAGAGAGCAAGAGTGAAACAAGAAGACCTTCTAAGAGAGCATTTGTAGAAATCCTGGCTAGAGTGATGGTAACCTAGAATAGAGATGGCAATAGCAAGATGAAGAGAAGTCAACGAATGTGAGATTATATGAAGAACAATTTATGAGACTTATTGATGGACTGGGTATGAGGAGCTTGACAGAAGAAGGAATCAAGGTTAACTTCAGCTAAAGCAACATGTAGGTATAGATGCCACTTACTCAAACAGGGAAAGCTGGGAAAGGAACCAGTTAGGGGGCATGAAAGAATCCTGTTTTATGTTCATCTTTTATTTCTCCTACTCAGACATAAGCTCTTTATGGGGAGAATCTGTCTGCTTTATCTTTGTATTCCCCAAAGTTCATAATGTAACTAAATTGAGTCAATGTTATACACACTGCCTAGTTTTGAAAAACTGACAACCCTCTTTAAGAGTGTCAGTTTTCAAAGAAATTTTGTATCACTTAATATCATAATAAAGGAAAAAAAAACTTTCAAGAAGTTCCCACAAAAATTTTCCTATGCTGCTGATTCAGACTTTTAAGGCCCACAGAAATTTATGCTTTCCACTTTCTTACTAAGCCATTTTAATCAGTTTCATATGATTCTACCAGTTCGGTAGATTATAAGGTATACAATACTATAATGTATACTGAAGGGGTGGCCTGCCCCTCAACACCTGTGCGCATTTCTCGTTAGGTGGAACAAGAGACTTGAGAAAAGAAATGAGACACAGAGACAAAGTATAGAGAAAGAAAAAGTGGGCCCAGGGGACCAGCGCTCAGCATACAGAGGACCGGTCTCCGAGTTCCCTCAGTATTTATTCATCATTATCTTTACCATCTTAGAAAAAGGGAAGTGGCGGGATAATAGGATCATCGTAGGGAGAAGGTCAGCAGTAAGACATATGAATAAAGATCTCTGTGACATGAATAAGTTTAAGGAAAAGTGCTGTGCCTTGATATGCATACGCAAACATCTCCACAAACCCTTTTAGTGTATAAAGAGCAGCATTGCCGCTAGCACGTCCCACCTTCAGCCCTAAGGCGGTTTTCTCCTTTCTCAGTAAATAGAACAGACAATCGGGTTTTACACCGAGATGTTCCATTGCCCAGGGACGGGCAGGAGACAGATGCTTTTCTCTATCTCAACTGCCAAGAGGCCTTCTTTCCTCTTATATTAATCCTCCTCAGCACAGACCCTTCATGCGTGTCAGGCTGGGGGACAATTAGGTCTTTCCCTTCCCACGAGGCCATATTTCAGACTATCACATGGGGAGAAACCTTGGACAATACCTAGCTTTCCTAGGCAGAGGTCCCTGCAACCTTCCGCAGTGTATGTGTCCTGGGTACTTGAGATTAAGAGAATGGTGATGACTTTTAACCAGCAAGCTGCCTTCAGGCACTTGTTTAACAAAGCATATCCTGCACAGCCCAAAATCCGTTAAACTTTGAATCACCACAGCACATGTCTCTTGCAAGGCCAGGGTTGGGTGTAGGGTCACAGATTAACAGCATCTCAAATACAGAACAAAATGGAGTCGCTTATGTCTACTTCTTTCTATATAGACACAGTAACAGTCTGATCTCTCTTTTCCCCACAGTATACTATTATAAATGGGATGCAATTTATAATAGCATTATTATTACACAGTATATCCTTATAAACTACTAGTTATGTATTGTTTTGGTTATATAGTTTATACAGTCCCTTATGCGGTTTGGTTATACTACAACCTTGATAAGTAGGCAGGACATTCTGTAATATTTAGTGCAGAGCTGGAATTCACGCCAAAAGCATCAGACGGCAAATCTATAATTCGTCATTTTACTAATAATGAAACTGATGCTTGAAGAAGTCAGGTGACTTGGCCAAAGATATAAAGTTAATAACTGTAAGCTAATTTTGCTGTCATTAAGTAACTGATGCTATTCTAAGCTTGTTAACGTTATGAAAATACATAATGAAAAAACTCAAAATCTACCAAAAGATAGATTCTAATTCTTTTGCTTACTTTTGAAGTCTGAATCATATGATACAGAAGATTCTTCCACTTGTACTACATAATCAGAACAGTGAAAGTAAAATCACATTTCAAAGGATAATTTAACTAAGTGTGTTTTCCCTAGGATAAAAAGGTAACTAAGTTTCTTTAGAGGGAAATTAACTGTATCTAAAAAGTAATACTTGAGTATATCATAATACCACAAGTTTCAATTACTGTTTTTATGTTATTCAAAACCAAAACAAGTATATGTCAACCACTGCATATTGGCAACTACCCCTTTTTAGTGAACCATGGAAATTGATAAGTGTTAGGTCCTAGGTCAATTTTTAATGTCAAACACAGTAAGTGATGTGATTTTAATCAACTTCAGAGTAGCTTAATGCTTATACTTCCCCCCCCCCCCGGTTTATCCCATTAGCTTAAGATATTTGGGAAAGGTGGAGGAACATATTAAAGAGTAATTCAGAATTCAACAAAGTACTCAAAGCTTTAAGTATAAATATCCCATATAAATAAATCGGGGATTTAACTGTTTTATCCTAACAGTTTAGAAATGGCATTTTTGAGTGCCAAAGGGAAATTCCAAAAGGACTCTTAGAAAAACTGTAATAAATTTTTAAATGTGAGAACACAGTCATTTGAAAATATACATAATCTACATTTTTAGCAATGCTAGTTCTGTTGCTGGATTTACATAAATTTGTTTGTGTCAAGTTTCTTTCTCCCTGTTGTATGGGATACATCTAAATGGAAACAAAACTGAGTTCAAAGGCATAATGAGTATACTTATCTCTTCTTAAATTCAATATATTTTTATTTGATTTTAGAAATAATGAGAAACCAATGATGGTGACTGCACCAGGTGTGACACTATGAGAGAATGCCTTAATAGTATAGCTTTGGCTGTAATGCAAAGATTGGAAAGTACAATTACAGAGATAGGAGGGTATTAGAAGTTAGAGATGGGTATGTGTTATAATAGTCTGCATCAGGTGAGAACTTTATAAAAGCTAAGATTCCGGGGTAACACCCCTGGAATTCTGAGTCAACAGGTATAAAGCTAGTCCTCTTAATTCTAGTTGAAATGCTAAACATCAATAACTTGTAGGAAGTTAAAGCATCAAAGGGAGAATATCCTTGATGTTGATCCTTTTAGAAGAGTATCAGAAACCCATAAAAATTATAAGCAGATGCTTCATTTTTACCACAAATGGATACCGACTCACCTGGATCAGTGTCATATTTTAGGTCCAGTGGATGTACAACAGGGTGGTACTGCTTCTAAACATAACATAAATTAAAACAGATTTAATCACTTAATGCTTCATATAAACATCTCTTTCAGCTAATATGGCAAATATACTAGATTAAATAGTACCATTCTTTTTTTTTTTTTTTTTTTTTTTTTTGACGCGGAGTCTTGCTCTGTGCCCCAGGCTGGAGTGCAGTGGCGCGATCTCGGCTCACTGCAAGCTCCGCTCCCCCGGGTTCACGCCATTCTCCTGCCTCAGCCTCCCGAGTAGCTGGGACTACAGGCGCCCGCCACCTCGCCCGGCTAATTTTCTTGTATTCTTTTTTAGTAGAGACGGGGTTTCACCGTGTTAGCCAGGATGGTCTCGATCTCCTGACCTCATGATCCGCCCGTCTCGGCCTCCCAAAGTGCTGGGATTACAGGCTTGAGCCACCGCGCCCGGCCAATAGTACCATTCTTTTGAGGAAAAAAATTAAATCCTACTGTCTGCAGGGAAGAGAAGGAGAGAAGGTAAAACCAGTCAAACTAAGTCTGAATTATGTCTTTTACAGTACTGCCACCTACTGCATACACTGAGAAGTGGCACCATAAAAAAGTATCAGAAGAAGCAATCAAGCAAATTAAAAGCACAGAGACTGAATGTTATGTTTAAAGTACAGGGTAGTCTCCAATTGTGAACTGACTATGTTTCAAAAGTTCATTCAGGACAAGCGTTTGGAACTCAAAATGCATATTTCCATGAAAACTTGGTTCTAAAAGGTGGCGAGGCTACATTACCACCACACTAACCTATATATCCTGTGACACACTGAAATTATAGTAGCAGAATTACTGGCACAGAATCTACAATTCAGGCAAAAAGAAAGAGGAAAATGCTCTTCCTTATTCTTGTCCAAAGCCAGCAGAAGCCAAAAAGGTTAAAAGAAAGAAAACAAGAAGAAAAAAAAGGTCTTCTGCCAGCTGTGGTGACTCACACTTGTAATCGCAGCACTTTGGGAGGCCCACGCAGGAGAATGTCTTGAGCTCAGGAGTCTGAGACCAGTATGGGCAACAAGGAGGGAAGAAGGGAGGAAAGACACAGGGCATGGCAGGGCAGGAAAAAATTTTAAAAAGGTCTTTGGTATCCTCACCTCATCCATTTTGCACTACTTTTTAAACTACCATAGCAGTACCTCACCTAGGCCAACCGTCTTTCTTTTCTGCAATATGGATGACTAGCTTTGGGGGCTTGGGGGCAGTGGGGCAGTAACAAGCGAGACACTGAAAAATACACTTTGAATGTTTTTCCTGAAAAAAACTTCCAAGTAGGAGGGGTGGGGGAAGTGATGGAATGGGGTATTTGAGAACTGCTATAAAAAAAAGTTAAAAATTCTGCTCATGAATATTGTTTTTCACAGAATAACTAATATGTTTTAGATACAATATTAAACCAGGCATATAATGCCCTGAAACAATCCTGAAACCGAGGCAACTAGAAGATTTATATGTGAATGCTTATGTACTAATTTCAAAAACTAAAGGCAATAGTATAGCATAATCTAAACACAACATGTACCTCACTGGAGGGACAATGCTATTCCCAGCAAACCTCCCCTCCCTACCAAGGGAAGATTTGGGTCCAATTTTCATGTGGATTTCCTATTTCCTACTGATTATTTTACCAGATTTCCTAACAAATCTGAAAAGATGAGGGTGTGATATGGTTGGTCACTGGTATCTACAGTAATTATAAGAAGGAAGTCTATGACTCTGCTTGTCTAAAAAGCTCATGCCGAAGGAGCTGAATTCCTGGTCTTGTGACCCAGATAGTTATGATTTTTGCAGCAAAACAAATTACGCCCAATTCATAAAGCAAATTTCAGTGTTATGAACAGGTACTAAAACAATCTCATCATCAATTTAACTAAAGGGCCTTCCAAAATATACAAACATATAAATATATGCCAAAAACAAACGACAAACAAAGAAAAGTGTTGAAAGAAAAGCTTCTTTTTCCATCCTGGTCTCAGAATCATAAAGTCATTGTCAGTCTTCCATCGCCAATTTCAATTTTAACCACTCACTATATCTTTCATTTTTTTCAGTTTTGAACCAGTGTGTTCAAAACACAGTATAGTATGACTATACTATGTCATAGTACAATTTAGAAGAGGAAAGTCTTATAAGAGACAAACAATACTAATTGAGGCAGGAAAGAAAAAGGCAACAAAATGTCACTTATCTCCACGTAGAGCCTTATATTTTAATGTTTTTATTGTGGTAAAATATACGATAACATTTTAAAGGCAAATCATCTTACCAGAATTTCTTGTTTTGCTTTTATGGTTTTGATGACACATTCCAGGATCTTTCTGGGATACTGCTTACGTTTTGTGGCTATATCTACTATGATTTCATCAAACTGATCTTCAAGTACTTTGATGTCAGAATCTATTTAAGAAAAAAAAATATATATAAAAAGTTCCCTAAAACTCATGGTTTATATTCTGTATGGAAATGTGCTATAAACTAAATTTAGAAAACACAAAATAATAAAGGAAAACAAATATGGCAAGTTAATGAATGCCCCCACTTCGGTGATTAATTTATTTATGCATTGAACAATCAATTATTGAACATCTATAAGAAGCTAGGCCTAAACAAGAGAAATACAAAGATGAGCACAACATGATTCCTACTCTCTAAGAGTTCACAGTTTGCTGAAAGAAACAGGTAATTGCAAAGCAAACTGATAAAAGCAATAGAGGTATGAACAAAATGCCATCAGGACACAGAACAATGGAAAACTGGGAAAGGTAAGACTTTAAAGAAGTAACATTTGAGCTTGAAATAGAAGTGTAAGTCCAATGGATAAAAAGTGGTAGGGGGAAAAAAGGAATAAAGAGAAGCATTTTAGGCAGTGGAAACAGTATTTGCAAGATCCTAATCTTTGGAGACCTGAGAAAAGTTCTAAATGGCTACAGAATAAAGGAAAGGAAAAATGGATGATAAAATATATAAGAACCAGGCTGTAAAGGGTATTTAATATCAGGGATGCTAAGAAGTTTTGACTTATCATGTACTGATCCAAAGCTATGACAGTAGCAGTGAGTGGAGTAACTAGATCTGAAATAGGACTCAACTGGATTGATGATAGGAAAAACTGAAAGATACAGTGAGTTTAGAGTTTCTTTCATTTAGCTAACTCTACTTTCTCATATGCTTTTTCATGTTTTAAAACAGTGATTCTCAAACGTTAGAAGAAACACCTAACGAGTATGTTAGGAGTACAGATTTCTTTTTTTTTATATATACTTTAAGTTCTAGGGTACATGTGCACAACGTGCAGGTTTGTTACATATGTATACATGTGCCACGTTGGTGTGCTGTACCCATTAACTCGTCATTTACATTAGGTATATCTCCTAGTGCTATCCCTCCCCCCTCCCCCTACCCCACGACAGGCCCCAGTGTGTGATGTTCCCCACCCTGTGTCCAAGTGTTCTCATTGTTCAATTCCCACCTATGAGTGAGAACATGCAGTGTTTGGTTTTCAGCAGTACAGAATTTTGATTCAGTAAGTCTGAGATGGGGCCCAGAAACGAAGCACCCTAGATGAAAGGAATGTAGGTGAGCCATCTAACTTTATTTTGAAAATCATTTTAAACAGTAAAAATATTAAGTAATTACAAATACTAAAGAGCTAAGTTTTCAGGTTAAATGGTCCTCATATTGCCCTTTTGTGTCAAAGTCTATGCTAGAAATGGACTTACTTATTTTATTGATCACAAGCTTTATTAGGAAGAAATCTAACATCTGAAACATAATTTTTTGAAACATTTTGAGAAACTGCTGATATGTTTTGGTATATACATATCAGATAAAGATAATCAAGTATATCAGGTATAGTCTTTCATTCATGTAACAAATATTAACTGAATCCCACTAAATTAGTTCGAGGGTACCCTTTTTTCCTTTTTCTTTCTCTTTCCTTCCTTCCTTCTTTCTTTCCCTTTCCTTCCCATTCATTCTCCCTCCCTTCTTCCCTTCCTTTCCTTCTTTTCTTTCCTAGATAGACACACAGATTGATTTTCAATAGCTTTTGGGGTACAAGTGGTATTTGGTTACATGAATGAATAGTACAGTGGGGAAGTCTGAGATTTTAGTCCACTCATCACCCAGTAGTATACATTGTGAAAGTACCCTTCTTTTGAGGGCAAGAAATAACAGTTATCTCTTACTTTGAATAATTATTTATATAAGCAGCCCTCCCTAAATTTTCATTTATCCATTGAAAAAGTTAAATAATTAGCCTGAAGAAAAGAATGTACTATTTCACAATTAGTACCAAAAAAAAAAAAAAAAAGTCTCCAGGAAAATCCTTTCTTAGCACCACCCAATGATAAAGCTACAACTAAAATGCATAACAAAATTTGAACAGGAGCCAGGCGAAGACCCGTAATCCCGACACTTTGGGAGGCCAAGACAGGCAGATCACCTGAGGTTGAAAGTTCGAGACCAGCCTGGCCAACATGGTAAAACCCTCTCTCTGTTAAAAATACAAAAATGAGCTGGGCGTGGTGGCAAGCACCTATGATTCCAGCTACTTGGGAGGCTGAGGGATGAGAATCTCTTGAACCTAGGAGGTTGCAGTGAGCTGAGATCGCGCCACTGCACTCTAGCCTGGGTAAGAGTGAGACTCTATCTAAAAAGAAAAGAAAAATTGAACAGGAAAGAATTATTCATTAATTTAATATATTTCATAGGTGTCTACTATAAGCCAAGAGTTGAGAACAAGATCAGGCGCAGTGGCTCACATCTGTAATACCAGCACTTTAGGAGGTTGAAGCTAAGAGTTTAAGACCAGCCTGGGCAGCATGATGAAACCCTGTCCTCTACCAAAAATACAAAAAGTTAGCTAGGCAAGGTGGTGCATGCCTGTAATCCCAGCAACTCGGGAGGCTGAGGCACAAGAATCACTTTAACCTGGGAGACAGAGGTTGCAGTGAGCCAAGACTGTGAAATTGCACTCCAGCCTGGATGACAATGAGACTTCATCTCAAAAAAAAAAAAAATTGTCTTTTTAAGGAGCCTTCTACAAAGATGTAACCACATCCTTTACATGGTACTTGTATAACTTAACTTCACACTATTCAAGAGTATTTCACTATTCACTCTAGAGATCACTTACAAAAATACAACTTGCTTTGTAAATAATTACAGAAATTCCCTGGGCCTCTTTTGTCATCTGGAGATAGCTCTACGGTATTTTCCAATAAACTATTGACAAAGAAGATTACTGAAGTAATAATCTCAGTTCTTTTTTTTATTTTTATTTTCCAGCCCAGAGGTCTTTTATTTATTTATTTATTTTAACAGCTATTATGCCATGAATTCATAGGAAATAGGTTCCAGCAGCTCAGGCTCCTTCCCATTGGTTCTCACAAAGTGTGCTTCTCTGGGTGGAGCAGGCTGGCGCTTCAGTTGAACCCAGGTACCTTTCTCTTTGGCTTCTTTCTTTTTCTGATCATTTTCCTTCACGCGTTTCAGGAAGCTATATCAGCTCTTAGAGTGCTTAATATGCTCAATACGCACATTAATTCTCTTGACAAGAATCTTGCCCTTAACTTGTTTGTTTACAACAATGCCAACAGCATGCTGGGGAACATTGTAGACTCTTCCAGTTTCGCCATGGTAACACTTGTGGGGCATTCCTTTTTGAACAGTACCCATTCCCTTGATGCTACGATACCACCTTTCTTATAGATTCCCATATACGTGGCCAAAGGAACAACTCCATGTTTTCTAAAAGGCTTAGAGAACATATATCGGGTGCCTCTCCTCTTTCCCTTTGTGTTCATCATTTTGGCGAATTATTGGAAGATGGCAGTTCCAGCCGAAAGATAATCTCAGTTCTTTATTATTCCCCTAGTAAAGAACTTCTTGAAAATAAATAACACTAAATATGGAGATTAAAAAACAGCATTCAAAACAAAATTAGCTGCAAAAATAACCCAGAAATTAATAATAGAAGGAAAAAGTCACATACCCATAAAACAATTATCTGAAGCTTCCTGCCATGCTTGTCCATTAATGCTGATATTCTCTTGCACAGCTGATTCAAAAGTCTGCAATAAATTCACAGTAGTCAAGTCACTAAAAATAATTTTAAATACTAAATTCAAACGTTTTGGCAAAATAACACTTCCAGATTTGTGACAGAGGAAATAAAGAAAAGTAGCAGAATAGCTAATTAGTATATTTATTCTTTTCAATGAAGATTCCAGTTCAATCATTGATTCCACCTGCACTTTTGGTCTCATAGCCATTATGCTACCCAAGAGAAAATCTGATACAAAAATTTGGAATATTCTTATAAACAAAAAAAAAGTTCCTAGAATGAAAAAAAAATCTAACAAATTTAGGCTCAGTTGAATCTCGGAAGTATAAGTACTACATATGCTGCTGAATGACTGTTGATGTTAACAAGAGGAAAAATATACATGCTTAAAAATAAAATTAATTTATATTTTATAAAGGGCTATATTTTGGAGAGATGAACACTTATGTAGGGATGAAATGACATGAGATCTAAGATTTGCTTTAAAATAGCAAATGTAGGCCAGGTGCAGTGGCTCACGCCTATAATCCCATCACTTTGGGAGGCCAAGGCAAGAGAATTGCTTGAGGCCAGTTCCAGACCAGCCTAGGCAACACTGTGAGACACCCTTCTCTACCAAAAATTTTAAAAATTAGCCAGGCACAGGTGCACATGCCTGTAGTCCCGGCTACTTGAAAAGCTGAGGCTACAGGATTACTTGAGCCCAAAAGTTTGAGGTTACGGTGAGCTATGATTGCCACTGCACTCCAGCCTGGGAGACAGAGGGAGAAGCAACTGTAACAAACTTTTGACAACTGTTGAGTTTGGTGGTGGATATATGGGTGTTCACTGTACTAAACTAATTTTTTATAAGGTTGAAAATGTTCACAATACATTAAAAGATAAAGAACTAAAAAACAAAAACAAACAAAAAATAGACAAATTGGCCTTCATCAAAATTTTTTTTAAATAATGAAGGACTAAAGGAATTTGGCAGTACACATTTCCTATTAGCCAATAATTTCACTTCTAGCAATGTATCCTAAAAGACTACTCTCATAAAAACACAGAGAGAATGTGCTAGAAATGTTCATTTCAACACTGTTTGAAATTTTTTTAATTGTGGGAAAAAACCTAAATTCAAAATTAGACAAGTTAAATAGACAATATTCATACCACACAGTACCTAAAAAGAATGAAGACAATCTCTACATAACACTAACAAGTTATAGTCAGACATGTTTGGTTTCAAAAAAGGCGAGTCAATAACAGTTCATCAGCACGACACTATTAATGGAGACAAATATAAACAGAGAGAAAGAGGTAAAGCCACAGAAAGAGGGTATAGAAAGTTTTCTCTCCCCAGGTACTCTCCAAAATAGTACATTATGTCCTAGAAGGAAGAGGGCTGGGGAAGGGGAACTCAAAGAAGAATTTTGCTTTATGCTATTGTTTGAATTTTTTATGAGCATATATTTTGTACCCTTTGTATAATTAAAAATAACATAAACCAAATGACTGATAATTATGTTAAAGTACATATTCTACATTTCAAAGATTTCATAAAGTAAATTCCTTATTTTATGGTTTTGTTTTTTGTTTTTTTTTGAGATGGAGTTTCACTCTTGTCAAGCAAAGCAGGCTGGAGTGCAATGGCACAATCTTGGCTCACTGTAACCTCTGTCTCCCAGGTTCAAGCGATTCTCCTGCCTCAGTCTCCGGAATAGCTGGGATTACAGGCAAGCGCCATCACACCCGGCTAATTTTTGTATTTTTAGTACAGACAGGGTTTCACCATGTTGGCCAGGCTGGTCTCGAACTCATGACCTCAGGTGATCCACCCGCCTCAGCCTTAAAAGCGCTGGGATTACAGGTGTAAGCCACCATGCCCGGCCTATGTATATTTTAGAAGTACTTTCAAGAATTGCTGAGAAAACATATTGTCTTTGTAATATTCATTGCAGACTGCTACCAATACTGTTTTTAAAGAAAATCTGCTACTTAATATGCAGTTTTAAACAGAGTTACAACATAAAACTTCTGCTTTATTTAAAATAAAACACAAGTGAATTCCTGTGGTAGTCTAAGCCCTGGAAACTTAATCTTATAATTCACTTTATCATCCCACTAAATAGGATATAATAGGTTAAGCCAAGTTCCTCTTTTTCTGTAAGATACCTAAATGTTTTAAATACCTTAGCACTTCCTAGAATCAGACAAATTCTAAGATCATTATACAACAAAAGTCTTCTCCCAAAAAAAGATGTCCTGAGATATATCCCTATTCTTGCCTTGCTTGCAAGGAGGGAATGACATAAGAGTCACTATATACAAAACTACATACAGAGTCACAACCCAGGAAGTATTTCTTCATTCTTCCACTTAACCTTTTTTTTTTTTTTTTTTAAGTGTTTCTTCATTCTTCCACTTAGCCTTTTGTTTTGTTTTTTGTTTTTGAGACGGAGTCTTGCTATATTGCCCAGGATGGAGTGCAGTGGCACCATCTGGCTCACTGCAAGCTCCGCCTCCCTGGTTCACACCATTCTCTTGCCTCAGCCTCCTGAGTAGCTGGGACTACAGGTGCTTGCCACCATGCCCGGCTAATTTTTTATTATTATTATTTTTTTTTTTTAGTAAAGACGGGGTTTCACCGTGTTAGCCAGGATGGTCTCGATCTCCTGACCTTGTGATCCGCCCGACTCGGCCTCCCAAAGTCCTGGGATTACAGGCGTGAGCCACCGCCCGACCCCTTTTGCCTGTTTTAGAGTGAAAACATTTTCTTTACAAGACTAAAATACGTTTAAAAAAATTGTGTTGGTTGAAAACTTTACTATCTATGATCACATATTTGCCCTTATACCGCATTTCCCCAGCCTTTCTTAAATATTTTTGCAAAGCCCTGAAGGTGGTAGTTTTTTGGGAAGACAAGAAAGAAAGGGATTGTGTGCTTCCTTATAACAGGCATCAATCTACTTATAGGTAGGGGAAAAAAATTAAAAGCTCATAATACAACACATTGGTGAGTTATGAAAGACCACAGCGCAAACATTAAAAATAAAGGTTAATAGGCCTGGTGAGGTGGCTCACGCCTGTAATCCCAGCACTTTGGGAGGCCAAGGCGGGCGGATCACAAGGTCAGGAGATCGAGACCATGCTGGCTAACACAGTGAAACCCTGTCTCTACTAAAAATACAAAAAATTAGCCGGGCGTGGTGGTGGGAGCCTGTAGTCCCAGCTACTCGGGAAGCTGAGGCTGGAGATCGGTGTGAACCCGGGAGGTGGAGCTTGCAGTGAGCCGACATCCAGCCTGGGCGACTGAGCGAGACTCCGTCTCAATCAATCAATCAATCAGGCAAAAGGAAAGACCAAATGCTGGTTGGGTGAATGGCTGACTTCCGGAATTACCCTTTCCAGGAGAATTCCTCATTGTCTAGGGCTGCATTGTCCAACAGGTGAGCCACCAGCCACTTTGTAGTTACTGAGCACTTAAATGTAGCTAGTTCAAAAGATGTGCCATAAATGCAAGACACCAGATTTGAAAAAGCTTAGTACGAACAAAATAATGTAAAATATCTCATTCATTTGATATTATTACATGTTAAAATATCTTGGGTTTATTGGGTTAAACAAAATGTTTTATATCCATTAATTTCACCTATTTCTTACTTTTAGTTTAAAACTACATAAGGATTAGCTTGCCTTGTATTTTCACTGCACAGCGCTGGTCTAAGTAATTAATAAGACCCAGCTGATAATAGCATAGATTTCTTTCTCCCCTCGCGTTTCTCCGACTGGTTCTACAGTAGTCTGGGGCACCGTTAATTCTGCCAAGGCCTGGCGTGGGATCTTTCTGAATCCTAAGATCCTGGGTGTTGGCTAAGGGGGTGATAAGTAAAGAAGTGGCTAACTGGTCCCGTACCCACTGCGCATCTCGCAGCGCGGGCTCCCGAATCTCCTCCGGCAGAGCGTCCCCGAGCTTTTGCACAAAGCGGCCGCACAGTTGTAGCATTTCGGTCACAGCCCGCTTCGAGGTGCAGCGCACCCGAAAGTCCTCTCGGGGAGTGGCGGAGACCAAGGCCTGACTCTCTGTCCCCGTCGCTAGCTCCTTGTCCCATGGGGGGTCAAGGACCACCAACTCAGAAGACCCCGCCATTTTTCGTCTGAACGAGGGGCGGGGCACTCTGGGAGAGGAAAAGTGGGTTTCCACTGGTGTAACTAGCATGCATCCGGCTGGAAACTCAGGACGCTGCAGCTGAAACGTTCCGGCTCCGGCTCTGCAGGCGCGTCTAAGGCCGCGGCCGCGGGGGCGCAATGGGAGCGGCGCGCGTAGGGTTGGTGGACTGTCACTGCCACATCTCCGCCCCGGACTTTGACCGCGTATGTGAGGGCGATACGGGGCCCGAGGGAGCGGGGATGCCCCCGTCCTTTCCCCTTGTGTTATCTTTGCTCTCCTCCCTTGGGATGAAACCCCATATCCCCCGCCCAGACCCTTGTTTATGGCCATATGACCTGCCCCTCATTTCCCTATTCCCTATTTAACCTCAGACATACCGATTTTTTTTTTTTTTTGTGATTCAGTCGCGGTAAGCTATTTCCACAAGGCTTTTGTTTGCTCTTCTGAGTTCCTGAAATCGTTCTCCCACCTGCCCTTGGCTGGCCTGTTTTTCCTCTCGGGCATGTCACCTCCTGGCTGAGATGCCACTTTTCGTGGGAAGCGGTCCTCGAAACGCGTTCAAATCCGGGACAGGTCGGGCGCGGGCTCACGCCTGTAATCCCAACACTTTGGGAGGCCAAGCGGGGCGCGGCGCATCTCCTGAGTCTAGGAGATCGTGACCAGCCTGGGCAACATGTTGACACCTCAGTCTCTACAGGAAAAAAAAAAACAAAACAAAAAAAAAACCAGAAATTAGCTGGGGATGGTGGCGCTTGCCTGTGGTCCCAGCTACTCGGGAGGCTGAGGTGGGAAAATCGCTTGAGCCCAGGAGGTGGAGGTTGCAGTGAGCTGAGATCACGCCTCTGCACTCCAGCCTGGGTAACAATGAGACCCTGTCTCAAAAGAAAGAAAGAAAAAGGGGGAAGGGGGAAGGGGAAGGGGAAGGGGGAAAAATTTCACAAATGGAGGAGAGAGGCAAAGAAAAAAAATACATGGCCGGGTGTGGTTGCTCTCACTTGTAATCCTAGCACTATGAGAGGCCGAAGCGGGTGGATCGCTTGAGCCCGGGAGTTTGAGACCAGCCTAGGCAATGTGGTGAGAGCCTGCCTCAATTAAAATAATAATACACACATAAAATCAGTTACAAACTGTTTTACCCATTACATGGGAAACTAGAGACTAACAATAGAGGAGTAAGGGGGGTTTTATTTCAGGAGGAAATCCTCCCAGGAGCTGACACTTAAGGCTGAGAAGACAAGGAGCCACCCAAGCAAGGGGCTGAGTGTATGCTAGTTAGGGAAACAGGTTGCAGGCCCCCAGACAAGCTAGAATTTGGCACATTTCAGTTGCCAAAAAGCTGAGTGGAGCTTGATGAGCTAGAAAGAGAAAGGCATGAAACAAAACTGGGGAGGTTTGCAGGGGATAGATGAGGTGGGTCAGTAAGGAATTTGGATTGCATTTGAAGCACAATGTGGATTCATTAAAGGGCTTTTTAAATTTTTTATTTATTTTTATTTTTTAGATTGAGTCTGCCTGTGTCCCCCAGGCTGAAGTGCAATAGCACGATCTCAGGTCGTTGCAATCTCTGCCTCCTGGGCTCAAGCAATTCTCCTGTCTCAGCCTCCCAAGTAGCTGGGATCATGGGTGTGCGCCACCACGCCTGGCTAATTTGTATTTTTTGTATTTTTAATAGAGACAGGGTTTCGTCATGTTGTCCAGGCTGGTCTTGAACTCCTGGCCTCAAGTGATCAACCCTCCTTGACCTCCCAAAGTCCTGAGATTACACAAAAATGGATAAGCATGATGCTATCAATTTTAACACCATTTTGCTGCTGTATGGCAAATGGATGGAGAAGAGTGGAAGCTATAAGACTAGTTAGGAGGCTTTTGCAGTATATAGGCAAGAGATGTTGGCTGTTGGTACTATGATGGTAGCAGGTGAGTTTGAGATAAATACATGGATTCAAGATACATTTTAGAGAGAGAATCCACAATAAGTACTGAAGAATTGAATGTGGATAGCAAGGGAAAGGGAGGAATCAAGGATGACTCAGATTATTAGCTTGTGCTATAGGGAAGATGGTGGTGCTGGTTTACTGAGAAAAGGGAAGACCAAGGTCTGAAGTGGAGGTGGGGAGGTCAGCAGAAGGAATAGGTTTGTGAAGAGAAAATGAAGATTTATGTTTGGGGCATATTGGGAAACCTAATCCCATGCAAATGGAGATGTCATAATTTTTTAATGTGAGTCATAGGTTCAGGAGAGAATTATAAGCTAAAGATAAAAACTAGGGACTCAGGCTGGGTGTGGTGGCTCACACCTGTAGCCCCAGCACTTTGGGTGGCCAAGGTGGTGGATCACCTGAGGTCATGAGTTCAAGACCAGCTTGGCCAACATGGTGATACACCATCTCTACTAAAAATACAAAAATTAGCTGGGTGTGGTGGCGGTCGCTTGTAATCCCAGCTACTCTGGAGGCTGAAGCAGGAGAATCACTTGAACCTGGGTGGCAGAGGTTGCAATGAGCCGAGATCGCACCATTGCACTGCAGTTGGGAGACAAGATGAAACTTCATCTCGGAAAAAAAAAAAAAAACAAACAAACTGGGAACTCAGCATAATGATGATATTAAAACCATGAGAGGAAGTGAGATCACTCAAGTCACGTGCAGAAAGAGGAGCAGAGGTTCTAGAATCCAGAAAGAGGAAGGGGAGCCAGTCAAGGAGACTGAAAAGTAGCCACCAATGAGAGAGTGGTATTGCAGAAGCAAAGAGTGGAAACCATTTCAAGAAGGAAGGAGTAAGCAAATGAGAGATTCTAAATGCTACTGAGGAGTAGAGTAAGATGAGGACAGATAAATACCCTGTATATTTGACAATAGAGGCTTCTGTTTTAGTGGTGGGAACAGAAGCCAGACTTTACTGAGAGTAGGAGTAAACAGGAGGTGGGTCAGTGTAGGCTCTTTGCTTTCCACTACTCCATTCGTTGCTATCATTGTCATTCTTTGTGATGCCACAACTGCATTGACATATACAGTCCAAGATTAGTTGCTTAGTATCTAAAATAATGGTGATTTCTTATGCTTGTTTTAGGATTTGGATGATGTGTTGGAGAAAGCCAAGAAGGTAAGTCAATATTTGTAATTGCTCTTTTGGTTTTTTATTTTAACTATCATTTCAAGCAAAAACAGCTTGAAATTTAGATATACTACCTTGATGTTGTTTCAGTAGTTTATAGTAAGTAGCATTTTTTATTTTTATTTATTTATTTATTTATTTATTGAGATGGAGTCTCGCTCTGTCGCCCAGGCTGGAGTGCAGTGGCGCAATCTCAGCTCACTGCAACCTCCACCTCCCAGGTTCAAGTGATTCTCCTGCCTCAGCCTCCTGAGTAGCTGGGACTACAGGCACGTGTCACTGCACTCAGCTAATTTTTGTATTTTAGTAGAGACAGGGTTTCACCATGTTGGTCAGGCTGATCTCGAACTCCTGACCTCAGGTGATCTGCCCACCTCGACCTCCCAAAGTGCTGGGATTACAGGCGTGACCCACTGCAACCAGCCAGTGTTTATTATTTATAATTAAAATAGAGACAAGGTCTAACTATGTTGCCCAGGCTGGTGTCAAACTCCTGAGCTCAAGCAATCTACCCACCTTGGGCTCCCAAAATGCTAGAATTATAGGCATGCGGCACTGCTCCCAGCCTAAGTAGCATTTATTAAGTGTTTGCTACATGCCAGACACAGAACTAAGGCCTTTCTCGACTTTACCTCATTCAATGTTTCACAGCAACCTTCTGAGGAAATTACTAATTTGTAGCCAACCATTCCCCATTTTTATAGATGAGGAATCTAAGGTCTAGGGATTAGTAACTGGTCCAAAGACATATGCTAGTGAAGTGATGGAGACGAGTTAGTCTGAATTCAAAACATGTTCCTATAGCTACCATGCTCAACAGCGCTATGGAACAAATTGGTCCATCTTTCAGTTTTTAAATTCACATGATTCTGGAGATCTGGGTTATATTATGAAAGTTTTCTGAAATGTTTTGATTTGCTTAGAAAAAGTATTTTTTTTTGGAAGTGTTTATGAAATTCACTGTAACTAGCATTCTGTGACCATCTCAGAAAATAATACAGCCAGAAATGGTTGTAGTGCATTTTTACATACAGGTAACTTTCACTGTGGCACTTAATTAGGAATGTGGGCTTTGGACATATATAGACCTGATGACCCTGAGCAAGTTATTTGACATCCAGAACTCTGTCTCCTGATCTATACAGTAGACTACAGCCTACTTTACAGGTTTCTGTAAATTAAATGAGGCAATATTTATATTGACTGAACATAGGGCTCGAAACATAGTAAATACTCAATGATAGCCCTTCTGATTGTATTGATGAAGCATGGGTGAACAAGGATAACTAAAATGCAGAGAAAACTTTAAATTTTGATATATTAAACGTATATTGTTTGGAACTCTATTCTTTTTTTTTTTTCAGGCCAATGTTGTGGCCCTTGTGGCAGTTGCTGAACATTCAGGAGAATTTGAAAAGATTATGCAACTTTCAGAAAGGTGCTACTTTTAATTAGGATTTTAAAGGGTTGCTAATAAGAACACAGTTATGACATCCAGTTTATAATATCAAAGATCCATTTTTAATGAGAATAAAGAGGAAAAAGCATTTTAGCATAGCCCTGAAAAGAGATTATTTTCTACTCATTCTTTTTTTTTTTTTTTTTTTTTTTGAGAGATGGAGTCTTGCTGTGTCACCCAAGCTGGAGTGCAGTGGCGCAATGTCGGCTTACTGCAACCTCTGCCACCTGGTTTCAAGCAATTCTCTGCTTCAGCCTCCCAAGTAGCTGGGACTAAGGCATGTACCACCAGGCCTGGATAATTTTTATATTTTTTGTAGAGACAGGATTTCACCATGTTGGCCAGGCTGGTCTCAAACTCCTGGCCTTAAGTGATCCACCTGGCTCAGCCTCCCAAAGTGCTGGAATTACAGACATGAGCCACCATGCCCGGCCTCTACTTATTCTTTAGAATACATTGTA